AAATCTTCACCACATAAAATTTTATTTGAAATCAATTCAGTGACCTTCACCATGCAAAGGCAAACACATTGTCAAACCCATCCTAATTTGAGGGGCAAGTGTTGCATATCTTTATTAATTTGTCCTCTGTGAGCAATGTTAAAGAAGTTAAAACCTCATCATATTCATTTTTTTTCACTTTGAAGAGCATGAAGTTAAAAGAAAATTTTGATTGAAGTATTTATTATTTGCATGCAAATAAAATTAACACATTCCAAGCTTTTCTTAAGGGTCTGTATGTTTTTTAACTTTTGTGCAAATGAATGAATGCATTAACGCTCATGAATATAGGGTGGGACTTTATTCATCTGAATGTACAGTACACAGCCGAGCAAACCATTCTCGTCTGACAGTGTTGCCCCAGGCTCTGTTTCACAGCAGACAGATGGAAGGAAACATCACCATAGCGTGTACAATCGCCTTCATCAAGCAACACACAAAGGCTGTTTTAACAGTCACTTACTTCTTTAGAAGAAGGAAGCTTTCTAAGAAGGCAGACTTGATATGACTTAAGCATCTATCTTAAAAAGGAAACACTGTCATATTGATATCTGTTGATGTTCTGTGTGTGTTTGTGAACATTTGTAATAATTGTGTTTATTTTGAGCAAGACGTGACAGATAAAAGTGGAGAGGTGAGACGTGTTCTTCTTTGGCGCTACAAATCGATCTGGCACTGTACGTTACGGAGACCAGATGTGTGATGTACATGAAACGGAGCAACCCGCCGCTGCTGTTTCATTATTAATTTACTCACAAATTAAAGTCTTACCACCATATGTTGTCACTAACCGACACCTTTCCACCCATCCTTTATCATGCAATAATCACCTTTAGTTTCCACTATTTATATCACAACATGGCACAAATCACACAGGTCCTATTATGTCAGCGCTGTTAACAGGTTATTCATAAATTATTAACTGACCTCACTGATTTCACAGTTAAAGGATTACTCTGGTTTTGTTAAGGAAACTATATCTTTTTTTGAATTTCTGACTAAATCCTGACATCACCACATTTTGCATTTAACCTCACAATGAAAAGTTTTATGGCTGTTCTTTCAAACACAACTACATTATTATAAGACCAGCTTGCCAAAAGCAATTACAGTAGCAGTTTAGCACCTGTCAAGGACTAACATAATATAACAAAACCACAGAAGTCAACCAAATCTGTACAAGGCTTCTTTATGTAATTAGTAGCTTTCTACAAGACAGCACATTTACACAGGTTCTCTTGTAACCTGTACCTCTCCCTCACACACTTTAATTTGCTGAGGACTTGTCAACTGACAATAACAGTGGTTCACAGTTCTGGCTGTAGGCTAATTGGTGTGTCACAAATGCATGTCACTCAACGTTAGACTTCATTAGCCTTGAGAATTTTGTGTGGGGTGATGAATTCAGTCTCATCCTGATGTAGCTGTGGTTCAGCTTATTGACAGTGGTCTTCACCAAAATGTTATGTCAACCTGAGGGTGAATGATAGACTGAGACCATTTACAAGGGGCATGTATAACAATTCTTACTGTACACAAATAAATGCTTGTGGCATCGAAAAGTCCTATTAAATCCTTTGCTAATAAGTAAACATTTAATGGCAACTCTATGCTTCTCTAGAAGGGTGGATCAGATAGCACATGAGGTCCTAGGTGTGGGCCACACTGTGTGTGTTTTAGTACCTACTGTATACAGTGTAGCATAACCTGCTAAGGTGACACGATCAGCTCGGTTGCTGTCTTTGTAGGTACTTAATTGGCAAAACACCTGCAATGCAGTTTCTGGAAAAAGTGCTATAACAGCATTGTTAAAAGCCAAGATTCCACTTAATGGCCAGTTCAAGTAGCTTTCTCTTTCTTTATCAATCTAATCACCACTAGGGTGTGATTTTCAATCCAAGACAATTGTTTGCAGTATACATGAATGCAATGTACACGGGACTAGGATTCAAACTTTCATTTGAATGTCTCAGAGTGATACTTTGGATGCAAACAGCAAAATCACAAGTTATTAAAAGCTAAAATAATACAAGCAAATGCCTTCTTTTCTACTCTGGAGACCTCACATATTGTACAGTATATATTTAATAATATTCAGAATGCTTAAAGTCAGAGTCTGATATGAAGGAGACTCTGATACCTCATGATTTATCTCTCTGTTTTTAGCAGACAGGCTGTAATTATCTTGCCTAAAGACTTTATCCTTATTCGCTACTGCTCTGAATTAAACTATGGCCATGCCTGCTGCATATTCATAATGTACAAAGATGTTCAAATATTTCATTCAGGATATATTTTTGTCTATCCTGTGTATCCACACCATTTCTAGGAAATTCTTCCTCTGTTGCCAGTAAGGTAAAAGCAAATATTGGATTGTCTTTGCTCTGTCCACTCCATCTTTCTCAAATCTTTTTCTTTCTCCAGAGATCCTTGAGAAAGTGGGAGAAAAAGAAACAGACAGAAAGAAATGAAGCAATAGAGATAGTTTCAACTCATTGTGGAAAATCTCAGTGGTTCTTGAAAGTTGCTATGGTTACAAACCCAGCCTGTATGGATAAGAAAAAATGTTTTGTCAGGATGGCCCTAACTCTTCAAAAATGGCTGCTGTATTTCGACAGAATATGCTACGGACACATTTGCACTGCTGTCTTTCTGAGTGATGTGATGTGTGGAATGTTGTTTTACTGCTGGAAAGATCCAGTACTGACAATTTTGCCTGAGATGCTTAAATGCATAAGGAAAGGTTCCATGGCAACATTCACCTGCAGCAGCTACTGCACTGTGGTCTCTTTGAGCAAGTTATGCTATTTAAGATGAAAGATAATAGAAAACCATAGAATGACATTCACTCCAGTATGGTCAGCAAAGAAACCATCCTCTTTGAAAACCTCTAAATATTAATAAATGGTGACCTCACAGTTTAGCTCTGCAACCTCTTCCTTCACCCACCCCTTTGCCCAGCTGTGCCTGACTGATAAGGTATGTTAGTGAGTATTCTTTTTCTTCCAGTTATTTCTCTTACATGTGTGCAAAATAAGTCATGGATTCTGTAGGAGGCCAACAGCAAGCATGATTAAAAGCAATTTCGAGAAAAAGGTCTATTTGATCCAATCTTTAAAAAAATCAAAAGCACATCTTGCTTTTCTGCATATCTGCAACCAATTCCCTGACCGTTAACGTTGTTAAAAACAGTTGTTGTAATTTACTCCTCAGACAAAAGACCCAGTCAGATGTTTTAGGAATGTCTCAAGTTAGCATTTCATGTCGATGCTCATTATCCTGTATATATGAAAAATGATAATAGTAATGTACATTCCTTGATTTTGATAAAGACATGTGATAGCACTGCCACAACCCCAAATTTCCCAATTAACTGTTGTTTTAAAAGTCAACCCTGAACTGTGTTGACTGTTAGAAAAACCACACTGACAGTCTGTCTTGGTGTTGTTCATTCAAAGAAATATGTATGGAAAAATGTGTGAGTGCGACCTTTAAGCTGATCTTCTGCTTCGGTTATACTGCTGCTATTATAACTAAAGCTACGAAAAATCACCACAACTGTCAAATAGTTACATTACATAGATACATTTGGATTTCTTACTGATAAATTATGTCTATGGATGAATCCTCTAAAACTTAAAGCTTCCTTAAGAAACTCTCAGAGGCTAACAGTAAAATCAGAAATAAATGCATCAGGCTGTGTTTGTTCACTAGTAAAAAGAGACGAATCATTTTCTAGTGACAGTAAAAATGGCTTGGCAATATCCCAGCAGTCACCATTATACTAAAATATTGCCTGGTGTGAATAGAAACAATCATCTGAACAAATCATCTTCAGGAATGAGTAGTGTAACATGAACTAATGTGGAGGGAAATGGTGAGCAGGGAACGAGTCCTGTTTATGAAGCTTTGCCAGGGGCTAAACTTGTTAAAATGCTAAGCTGGAGCCATTATTTGTTTGAGGTAATGAGGATAATCAGCTATAACATGGTGGTGATGATGACTTGACCTTTGTGTGACCATAATCATTTATGACCCCCATTAAAGCACCTGTTAGACTCTACTTTAGGGTATTTCAGGATGGAACACTTATTCAGTGTACTGCGGCAGACAATTGACAGCTTGATGATTTGCAATCAGTTGATTTTTAAGCCATTCAATGTGTTGCACTGATGCGCCTGCCTCGTGTTGTGGCCTGCAGTGGCGACCATGTTTGTGTATTATGTTTCACTTTTTGGCTGAAGATACTGTACATGCTGCTAAACAACTTACAGAATATTTATTTTACATTTCAGTCTTTTTAATGAGACATTTTAATTACACTGTCATTTTTAATACAAGGACATTTTCCCGTTCAGGTTGAGCCTTTGTTGACATTTTTTTTACTTCTTGCATTTCAAGTGCTCAAAGTGTTCATGGTAACAGGCTGAACTCTGATAGGCTGTTACACCACAGGAATTATGTGACACCTTTTTATACATGGAAACTATGGATACTGTGAGCAAACACTGTAGGGCTAATTTCTCTCATGCCTGATAAGAGCTCTGCCAAGGCCTGTTGACACTCTGGGGAATGTCTGAAAAATCTGAACCTCATTATTATTCAGAGGTGCCCGATGATACAGTAGCCTGCCACTGGAAAAGAAAAGCAGAAACAAGGCTCGGTATAAAAGTGAACAGTGCCCCCCTCTTGCTTTCAGGCTAATTTCTGAAGCAGGGTGGCTACTGCAAACAGCGGAGGCATATGTGGTCCACACACCCAGCCATCCACCTATATCACAGTGCAAGCATGTCTCCAACGCAGTGCGGCTTTAAGAGAACCGCGGCTCTTAAATCTGTGGTTGGCTCCTCCTTTCGCCATGATGTCAGTCGGAGGGAGAGCGAGAGGGAGAGAGGTGGGCAGTGTTGAGGAACTGAGTTCATACAATACTACTGAGACATCTAGAGCTTAGCAGAGAGATACGGTGAACCGCCTACCCCGGCTCCTGTAAGTGATGCTGCACTGAGGCACACTTTGATCCAACTCCACTGGGGGGGCAGTGCGCTCTCTGCATCCCTCCTTTTAATATTAAGAGTTTTTGCGGAGCGTGCACAGCCTTGAATCAGTCTGAACAAGTGGTTATAAAATAAATTACGTTTAGGCGTTCAGTTTGTACATCACAAGTCTGTTTTTTCGCCTTTGGATTGAAGTTTTACGCGTGGGTCAAGAGGCGTTTAACGCACACGTGTCAGTTTGGTGCCAGCGATTTCCAGCTGGAAAATAAAGTAAGAATTTCAAGGCAAATGTAGTCTAGGGTTACGAAGTCGATGTAAAGCAAGCTTGGATCAATGCGCATCTTCGCCCGTGGGATTGCGAACCCAAGAAATCCGAAGAGGAATTACAGCGTTATTTCCAAAGTTGATCGCTGTGCATGATTTCTCTCTCTCTTACACATGAGGACCACTGTATCTTAGCGCATGGATAAGTTTTTGTAGTGGATAACATTTTTTTTCTCCTTGCGTTTTGCTGCTGCTTCTGATGAGGATCGTTTCTCCCTACTTCAGTTTAATTCATGGCACTTCTTTTTTGTAAATCAGTGATGCCTCTACGCGGCGGCACTCGTGGTTGATTTGTCATCCTCTTCGATCGGAAAAGGTAAGCTTTGCTCTTGATTATGAGTTTACTGTTGAGCTCAAAATGTGTTTTATTTTAGTGGTCTCTGACTATATGTGTGGACACGACTGGTCTGTCTCCTGAGCGCATTCAGACACGCTGTGGAGCGCCTTGCTGCCTAATTTATATGGTTCCTATAAAATCAAATCGATGTCCCAGTACCGACGAGTACCTTCACCATTTTAACAATCAGTGAGAGCAACATAAGCTGTGCAGAAAATGTAATCATAATCCACAAGGCATTAGGGAAAATAAGCGTGTTGCGTTAGTAGGTCAGGCGCCCCCGTGCACCTGATGTAAATAGAAACTATCCACGAACACGGTGCGTAGTGGAGAATCTAAGCCGAGTTGTCGCGTTATGAATGTGTATCGCACGGTTGGTCACGACTTCTGGCGATTTTTTTGTCTTGCTCGTTGCTGATTGCTAGATAGATGGGCCCACTTTCCAAGAGCATCAAACTGCAAGCACTTTGTAATGCAGGTTACCCAGCAGCTTGGCCGCTAAGCTCGGTGCGTGGGTGCGCGGCAACAGCGCGTTGCTGGTCAAGCGGTACAGCTGTCATAGATCATAACTTCAGGGACCACCAGCCTGTTCATGCTCTCGGAAAAAATAAAGAAATTACAATAGTTTGCTACTGGCGATGACAGTTCTTATAGTCACAATGTAAAACCCCGTTGGCCCTGAAGACTGACAGTCACAGTTGGTTGTTCAGGCACCTAACAGGTTACCAGCTCAGTCTGCAACAGATTAAATTGAATCATTTGACCCTCTTTTTTTTAAAGCTCCCCAAAAGGCCTACTCAAATCAGTATTTTATGGAGAATTAAATCAATTGGTAATGTGAACCATCCCGTTTTGGATGTAGACTGAGGCATCTGTATTAAAAGAAGCATCTGTTTGGAAGCAACCAAAGTATTTGTGATTTGTAAATAGCAATAAAAACCATTTACTTGTGCACATACCCCTTCCATATTCACCAGTAGGTACTGTACAGAGCAACCGATCATAGTCTGCAACATCGTCACATGCTGTAGCCTATGTGTTATAACCATATTTCCAAATATTTTTATATACCATTAATAAATTCATTGACTATAGAATCTTAAGTTTGGAAGTGTTAAAGAGTTCATGGGGTAACTAGCCTGTTGTCCCAGAGATGCTTCCAGGTGTCAAAGACTGTCTCTCTGCTTTGTGTGTAATTTCCATATTACAGTGTAGGATTTTCGGTTCCACTGGAACCTCAAGCTCCTTTAAAATACTGCTTCTGCAATCACATAGTGTTTATATTAAGAAGTTGTCCATCCTTTAATGCCAACTCTGGTTGTAGATCTTCTTCTGAATGGCTTTGTGTTCACTGATTGTAGCTGAATTGTTCTTTTCATTCCCATGTAAGATAATATAAAATCTGACCCCCACTGAATTAGCCTTTTTCAGAAATTGCCTACTGCACGATTTTTCCTAGAAATCCATCCGCTTTGAAATATCTAAAACGCTCTAGAATATGTTTTAACAGTGTTTTCCCAGTGCAATTAGAATATTAAATTGTATTTAAACTCTTTGTTATGGTTTAGTCATTGTTCCAGACTACAGTTTAAACATTTCCTGACTTAGTTTTAATTAACTGCAGGGATTCTCTGTCAGTTTACGTACTTGTCCATAATGTGAGGCTCGAACTGGAAAATGTTTTTCTCACATTTTTTACAATGAATTTCAAAGTCAAAGTTAACATTAAAGATGACGTAATGCTACTGAAATGATCACACATATGTTTAGCATGGGGGATTATATTTGTCTACCGTACATTTGTATGGACTGCCCTCTTGAGGTCCTTGATTACAACGCTGTAAATTAGTTAGTCATTTTGCTAATGCAATAGGGTGAGAAAGATCACCTAGTGACCATTTCATTACCAAAATACTACACCATGTCATAATCCAGGTCTGTTTAAGAAATAAACGGATTGAGATGTGAACAGCCACTGAGGAATTATGCAAACACAAATTATACTGTATGCCATAATTTTGGTATATCATCTATTTTGTTTTTCATTGATTACAGATTGTGCGATGTGTACATACCAGTAATATTTGTATTTGAACATGCATCTCTTTCAGTATTAAATCAATTATTGACATTGTCAGTGTGGCCTTTTACTTATGTCGGGCATCAGTTTCAGACACTTTCATGCTTTCCACCATGATTTAGGTGCTGTAATATAATCGTTATTGAAGTTTCCCTAGAGAAAACAACTTTTATTCCTCCATAGTGAAAGGAGAATTGTTCTGCTATGGACTGAAAAAGAAATGACTGATCTTGTCAGAAACCTGGTCTGTCAGGCTGTCAGCGATCCTTAAAGCTGTTAAAAGAGAAAAAGCCCAAAACAGTCACAAGTAATACATCTACTGATACCCTTTTTCCAAAGTGTCCTTGGATCCATAGGCAATATTGATACAGTCAACAGTGGTGAAAACTTGGCTTTGACAGTTAAAGGACTCCAAATGTCTTGGGTCCCAGCTTCAGACTAACCACAGTGAAAGTTTCCAGTTGAGGATATCTTTAGGGGTGAAAGTGGCGGTCGCAGTATGTCTGCGTTGAGTGGATGCAAACACCGGGAAGACCTGTCCATCACACTGTTGTGTAATGTGATCCAGAGCTGGCATGCTCTTCTTCTCACTGCACTTCCCAAGAGGAAGGCTTGAGTTTGCCTACTGGATTCAACCTGCTGTCTGGGGCTCAAAATAGCATTTCAGGAGACTAGTGAAATGTAAGCAAAGGAGACACTCTGACTGACACCTAGGATTTCTTCCTCCCTCCCTCTTACTTTTTTTTTCCCCCTCCAGCACAATTCCTTCTTCACCTAACCTATCTCTCATGGAGAGGATTATAAAGAGCTGTGACAAGTGAAAAGACACGTAGGTGTCAGAAAATAATGGTTAAGAGAAAAGAAGCCACAATAAGTTAATAGTTTAAGAGGAGTAAACACATTTGGTTGAAGGCAAACATATACTTGTTAAAATATATACAACGTCAAAATTTTAGTGTTTTAGCTTGATGTGGGAAAAGAAAAAGCTCTGTCTGTCTGTATGCTATTTATAAATCAAGTGTACATCTTCCTAACATCGCATTAGCATAACCAGGGTGTCCTTTTTGTTACATCTATACTCCTGCATGTACTTTGAGTCAAAAACATACTACACCCCTTCATCCAGTGGAAGATTATTGTCACTTACAAGGGAAAGAAATTTTTAATCATGCTTTGATCTTTTTGGTTTTGTTCTTTATTTTCATTTCAGCAAACTGCCTCCCATTTAAGAATGTAATTTTAAACTTATTACGTGTTGTGCAAGCTCAGCCTTGGACTGTCTGGTGATCATCACAGTAAAGCGATTCCTGCTCACAAAGATGCACACTAAAGTAAAGTGTGTCACAGTAACTAATGGGATATACCTCATCAATATTTTGACATAACAGTACAGCACTGCCTGTGCTATATGTGCAGAATGAATAACCCTCACACTGATCAATGTCAGCATTGGTGTTTTTCTGTCCAACCTTATTTAATGAGTCTCATGTGACTGCTTTATGAAATGTGTGAAAGAAATCTGTCTTTACAGGCCGCATGAATGCCCTGCAATTGTTGCAGATTCAAAACCAGCTTAATTAAATTCTTATTTTTAATCAATTTCCCTTTGTTGGCAGACCAACAGCTCCAGTGACTATGAACACTGTTGCCTTGCCAGTTCAAAGGACCCATGTTGAGCAGTTTAGGTAGTCATACCTTTCCCACTGGATATTGTTTGACTCCTGTAAATGGATGGAAATTTCATAAAGCAGGAAATATTATGGTTCCCTAAGAGCTATTTGTGGTCCCTTGTTACTGCAGGTACAGTATGTGTGCATTTTCAGCAGCAGCTGAATTGTATGATGGCTGTCATACACTTTTGCCTACTTTTAAGGAAATGGACGTTTGATTTCAAGGAGGCTGCCTTTATGAATGCAAACCAATATCTTGAGGAAAATCATATGCGGTTAATAAACACTCAGGGAGTTGGCGGACCTAAACACAGTGGGATATGAGCAAGGACATTATATTAGTCGTTAAATATATTGCACTGAATCCACATGGCGAGGCAATATTATTATTATTATTAGAAGTAAATACACATTGGTGGCTTTACCCTAATATGCAATTGCATACTAAAGACAGTATAAAGACAGTGATGTAATTATGTTGTTTTAAAAAATCTACTGAAAACAAACATACTCTACAAGGCTTTTGACACTATACTGCATTGTCACTATAATGTCAAAAGCCCATTAAAGCCTGTGTGGGCAGGCCTTTACAGAAACCAATGTGACTGTGGTGGGAATGATGTCATTTTCTATGTTAACAGTATTTTTAACACTCCACATATAGAAACTAAAATTGACAATGCATTTCCTCTACTGATGGTTAATGTCCGTCAGTGTGTCAGTCCTGGATCAGCTTATTTACCTGTGCCGTAGACCTCTGTTGTTCTTCTAAAACAATTAGAGTCACATCAGTGAAATGCACTGCTGTGCCTGGGTGACATATTTCTTCATTAGCAAACCCCAGACCTGAGCGTGAGGAGCTAGTGGAATGTAAACAAACCAGAGGGCCACAGAAGATCTCACACGTGTGCAGCTGACTCTGAGTCATGCTAACTTCAGGAAATTATGGCCGCCCTCAGCTTTTGGGGCAACATAGTCAGGTCTGGGATTTCGTAATGAAAAAACATGTCACCCAGTGCAGCGGTGTGTTTCCCTGATGTGTTTTTAATCATTTTTGAACAACAATGGAGATCTATCGCAGAGATGAACACGCTAAACCAGGACTGTCATTTGACAGACATTAACCATGAGTAGAGGCAATTCATTGTCGGGTTTAGTCTCTGTATGCAGATTGTTGAAAATATTATTAATATAAAAAAATGACTGACCTTATCCTTTAAGGATATCCAAGAATGGATTAAATGAATGAATAAGTCAAAATGAAACCTAGTAAGCCACATGAAGTAACTGCCCTAATAACTGATTAAATAATCTACTAATTAATGCAAAGTACAAAGCAATCAATATGTCATACTAGAATATACAAGCAGCGAAGACATTCAAGAATATGACTTCTTCACTGTCTTCCAGTGACCTACTTGGATTTTGGGAATTGCTGTCAGGCAAGCGTTTGCACATACAAAAGATTGAAGATTTTGTAGAACAACAGCATCTAATGAATTGGCACTAAACGCAAGGAAACATGTTAATGAATAATGTTCAGTGATGGTAAACCCATCTGCAGTGTTTTCTGTTTAAGGTTTTAGCACAGCACTATTCAGAACAAACAGAGAACTGAATGCTGTTTAAATTTGATGTTGGAGAAAACACATTCGTCAGGATGTAATGAAGTTATGATTGCGTTTCTCTAATTTGACTGATGGTGGCTCCCATAATAAATAATTTCACATTGTTGTCTCCTTCCACCGCAGTTATTCTAAACAGTGCTCTTATCATACTGTGTGTGTTTACACACATGGGCGTTCATGAAATATTTGAGAGCTCAATTGTTTACATTCAGAGCAAATGAGGCTTCCCATTAATAGCTGCTGTCAAGCGGTACAACTGCAAGTTTGTGTGTGTGTTTGTTCATGCATGGAAGCACAGTGCTTAAGGCTCTGTTCTGTTGCTTCCAAATCAGCTGAAGTCTGAATGTGAGGTGCAGTTTACGAAGACACCACAGCACTATACTGGCTCACACCGACTCAAATATGAATTAGGTTTTTCTCCGTGTCCCATCTTTTTCATCCGCTGTAGTTTGTGAACAAGATTTCAAAATGAACTATTTTATCGCAACAGTGAATTCGACTGCTTTCGCACTTCTCAATAAAAATATGAAATGGCTCATTACAGAGATGAAATGGATTGATGGAATACGTGAACTGCTAACCTTTACGTGTCCTCTTGCTCAATGGATGTCATCAAAGGTTAATTGTGTAAAACTGCTTTTAATTTGCTCTCAAAGACATGGGAAGGATGTAGGCTCATAACTAGCGTGGATGAATAGGTCAAGTTGAAAACTCCATGAGGGAAAATAGCACTAATTACAGAAGAACTTGAATGCCATGTAATTTTGTTCACTGACATTGTGTGTTCTGTCTTTCTCTCTCCTTTTTTTCTCTTTCTCACTCTCTCTTGTGACAGAATTGCTGCTGTAGAAGTGAAGCTCCTATCCACTCTTGAGCATGGACTTAGCACGTCAGACTCATGCACTGGTGGTCTTGCTCGCCAGTGTGTTATTACTATGTCGGGCCCAGGAGAGGGACTACACAGTGAAGGAGGAGCAGCCAGAGAATATCCGCATTGGCAACCTGCGCAAGGACCTGGACCTTAACCTCGACCCCAACATCAGGCTATCCTCGCCGCTGCAGTTCAAGCCCGTGTACAAGACAGGTGACGTGCCTTTGGTGAGGGTGGAGGCCAACACGGGGGAGATCTTTACCACCAACCACAGAATCGACCGGGAGAAGCTGTGCTCAGGGGTCTTTGCTGAGAAACGCTGCTACTATGAGATCGAAGTGGCTGTGCTGCCTGATGAGATCTTCCGACTGGTCAAGATCCGCTTCCTGATTGAGGATGTGAATGACAATGCGCCCCTTTTCCAATCCACTGTAATAAACATCTCCATCCCAGAGAACACAGCCATCAACACCCGATACCCGGTACCCTCTGCATTTGACCCTGATGTAGGGATCAATGGGATCCAACATTATGAACTGGTCAAGGTGAGGATCACTCCTGTTCCTTCTTTCTCATATATGATAAATAAAATGAATGGGCATTTGTTATGTTTAGGGGAGCCTAGGGTGTTTTAGGGTAGTTATACTGATGTCAATAGTATTATTCATATTGTGTTTTCCAAACTATACTGCCCTTATTAAGGTTCTAAGTGCAGTGGAAAAAACATGTTTGCACTGTTTCTGTACATTAAATCTGTAACTGTTTGGAAAAACATTCACAATCACCATTGTAATGGTGTGTGGTTAAGAACAGTTCGAGAGCTCTAGTTAAAAGTGCAGTTTGTCATTAGCTGGTGAAACAGTTTTTAACACTGAGGCTTATGTAATTACACATATGGAAAACACATTTTCTAAATCTCTGTGGATGAAAAAACTGTTTTGTCAGCTCATTTCTTAATATCCATTTTGTTCTTTTATGAATATCACTTTGGTTCATCATTTGAGTACCCTTCATGCCTTCTGTACTGTACATCTCTGTTTTATTTGATATTTACTAAATTGCCAGCTGTCATTCAGTAATTAATAATAAAAACATAGGTATCTAAGCATGTGAATCTGACTTTATAATTAAACATTCTTAGAAAGTCACTACCTAAAACCAAAGGCTCTTACTGTATGACCGCAATCTCAAGACTAAACTAAAAGCCATCTTGTACAAATTAATTTAATTCAATATTGGAAGTGAAAGATATGGGCCTGCAGCCTCATGACACTGGAACAGGCTTCAAGTTACTGGATTGCTTTATGGCCTTAACAGAATATATAGGCTTCCTGTACAGACCAATTACAACAGTGCATTTAAACCAAACACCACTGTAGCTATCTGTCTCGGAGAAAACATTACAACAATGTCAAATGGGACAGAAAATATTAAATAAAGCCAGAGATGAATCCCTGACACACTGCCATGCCTGCAGCATACCACCTGTCTACATGAGGTCTTATTAGTTGACTGTTTTTAATCTGTGAGTCTGATGTGGTTTTTATGGCACTGCATCAGAGTTTCTTCTGTAAACCAGCTATAGTGCTGTAGTGCTATGGTACACCCATACAGGACATTAATTTTAACTTGCTGAAAATATGACCTACTTTTCTATAAAGTGAAATATGTCACGAAGCCAACAATGTTTTATACCAGCCATTCATATTTCCATATGCTTTATTTCATTATGAGAGAAAGCTGTAAAGTAGGGCCGTTTTCACCATGTACAGTAATATCACAGAACACAATGTAGAAAGTGCAGACACAGCACACGCTGCATGTCCAATTTCCATCAACAGGTAACATGTGCTGAACATAATAGATTAAAGCAAGTAAGAAGGAATGTATTGTGTTCTGCAGAACCAGAAGAAGCTTTTCTTCATCGTCTAATTAATGCACCCTTACTCTGCAGTGCAGTAGTCTCTGTTGCTTAATGGGAAATCAGACCCAAATCCAGAAATGCACGATAATATCATGGATTCTCTACTTAAAGTCTAGACAGCACTCTGTGCTTTATGGATAGATGAATATTGGAGATGACACAAGCTCTAGAGGAAACCCTAAACATAATAAATAAAGAAAGGTTACTGGATTTGAGAACATGGTGCCAGACAGAAATGACAAACCCATCCTCTCAGTCTCAGATAAAGTTAACACTGATTTTGGAATGAAAAGAATCATTGCTGTCTGCGTCTGCCTTGAATACCAATTTGCATTTTTAAAGAGTCTGCCCACTGCCAAGGCCTCTCCAGCGCAATGTCCTGAATTGTTCATGCCTGGAAAATCACCAACCAAATGTTCTGCTCATTATGATGATCATCTGCAATCATTTTCTTTGCCTTTTACACAATATAAAGCTTTCTAAAAACCCCACCTAGTCTGTGGCTGTACTCTCTTTTTGCAGGAAATTCTTCTTGGCATTGCATCCCTGTTTCACTTTTTGTCATTACATTCTGATTGTACTTAAGATTCATTTTCTTGTTCTCTGGGTTCCATATGAGGAAAAACACAGAAAGAAATATTAATGGAGCCAGAGACATTTTCAACCTTTGCTATCTTTTATTTCAAAGGTACAGTTGAAAGCCAAGAGTTTAGTGGGGAGGGAATGTGCAAGCATTTCCTAGAATAGCTCTTGGCCACTAAGCCACCCTTGGACTATCTTTGTATGGTCCTGTGAGATTTGTCTCAGAGGCTCCTTCAGAAGGATAGTATGTCCAGTCTCCTAGTGTTGTGCAGGACACATTGTTGAATTTGCTATGATTGTGTAGCATACTCAGTGGTCCGCCACTCCACATGTAGTATCCCACCAGAGTTGTCAACATACAGTGATAAACAAATAAAAGAAAGGTGGTAGCCTCATTCTGTATAACTTTGTCTGCTTTGAAAGTAAAGGCAGATAGTGGGTAGTTTCATCCTACACACTGCTGCTGGTAATTCCAATGTTTGGTCATGTGTTACTGTACATCACCTGAGCTCCAGACATGGTGTCCTAAGAAATTGTCAAGGTCAAAGAAAGCAATCACATGCATGGCTGGAGCTGGTTCACCCATGAAGCCAGATTGATCATTTTACATATTTGCAAGATAACTCAGAGGCCAACACAGAAACATACAAAAAACAAGAGGAGGTGGGTTTGATGCTGACTTTGCTTGGGACATTGGGCCTTTTCCTTATTCCAGTGATACATGATTTTGTAGCATCACACACTGCACTAATCCAAGTTGCATCTATGTCAGCATCTTCAGACAAATTTAAAGTGGGTGTCTTGTTCAAGATCAATGTTCTGCTGCTGGCTGGGGCTATGCCTCACTGATAAACTAGATGATGAAATGGATGTCTGCATTTTGGCTTAGTCTGGAGGGCTCTTTGAATTACCCTTTTGCCACCTACCTAGGTTTTCCTGTGGTATTTTGCAATCCACTTGGTTGCTGGATGTCTATCAGAAATATACCTAAGATGTTTGAGTGGATGGAGTGGTCCTTTTTGCTGGTACTCCAAGTCCGAGTTTGAAGAATTTTACTCCTAAACCGATTCTAACTTTGCATTTGAAGATGTAAATTTTATTCAAGCTCCATTCCCAAGTAGCAAGAAAATTTTGATGAATGCATTGCATGCTGCCTATAGGCAATGAATAAGATTTTTGGGCAGAGAGCTCACTGTCAAGCATTTCCAGTTTTCATTAGTGTCCTACTTTGACATGTTATCCTTTTCTAGGGGGTGACAAAAAGAGACAAACAATTCCAGGCTTCTTTTGTCTTAATTATATGCATGAGATCATGGCCAGGGGCAAAAGTGGATGAGGGATGGAGAGAAAAAATGAGGATGGGGGAATGAGAGGGAGACACACACAGAGAAGGAGTTTCCATCAGCATTATAAAGAGGTGCTATAGCTTGTGATGAATAGCCCTCCCCAGTTAGCCCCATCCATGGGCATCACCGTGACTAGAGTCCTTTTGATATATTCACAGCCCAATCTCAGTCTCCTCTGAGTTTTAATAAGGTCATCAACTTGACTGAAAGATGCATCCAGTGATAATCTGAGGCACTGTCTGCAGACAGGGTTCAGCGTCATCCTTCCCTTATCATTAGCCACCTCTGCTTCTGTCAGTGTCCCTCAGTCATTTTCATTCAAATTAGCCAACTCTGACTGTGAGTACTGCACACATTCCACATATATAGTGCCACAGTCCTTCTCTGATCAGAGACCTGTGGCCCAGTAATGTGGAATGAATGGAGAGCCATCAAAGTTCAACAAGACATGTACCTGTACAGTATTTGTGCAGTGAAAGAGCGAGGCACTGTATAATATGCACACTTAGCAGTTTAGAGAACTTTGTCCTTTTCGCTCAGCCTTAGGGTTTCCAGTGAGTGATTCATGCTAGTATCTGGCCTTTTCTTAGCCTGCCCTAGATCTTATTAGAATCCACCAGACTAATTCTGCATTCAAGAGGATGCACAGCCCGAGAGATAGCTCTCTTCAACTTATTGAAATGCACTGAGTGCTGTCTTGTCAGTTGTAAAATTGTGTGAAACCAAGACAAAAGCATAGAGGAAATGCTGGCTCATAAATCAGTGTGCAGCATTGCCTTTCACGCATCCTAACTCAACATCCTACTATTAACATCAGAATCTGCCAAATACCCGTGTGCAGATAGCTACTGTGCCGAATCTGTTCAAACTATTCAAACAACTGAGGATTGAGGAGCTGCGTGCGTATGCGGCAGTGCTTAGCAATAGAGCCCCCAGAATGTTGTCTTGGACCAAATAGTTCTGCAGTGTGCACAAAGATTCAGCACAGTTCATCCATAAGGCCTTTTCTTTTCATTTCCACATATAATTTTTTTATGCCATGTCTGCTTAGCCTTATATGACTTTTCCTTGCCAGAAGGATCACAAGACAAGGTCTATAAGATCACTACTGCAGTGTTCGCTGTTTAAAGTAGTTTTGTCAATCACTGACATGTTGACAGCATTCCCTCAGCAAGCAGTTTTTCAAAGTACACAATAATTTACGTGCTGGAGCTGCACGTTTACTTGTGAATCTACACCACTATGTTGGCACAAGGACAGTTAGTGATGACTCTTGTGCTCACAGTTTGGTTGAAATGTTCCTTCCTAGAACGAGGAGAATGTATATATCTTAATCTCATTTGATAGCTGTGCCTAGACAGAGTAATCTCTTCCAACATTATGTGCAGCATGAAGCTTATCTCTTTAAAGAGGATGCTTTTTCTTGTTTTACCATGAAACTGCTTCTGACTGAAAGAGCTTCAAAGGGCTTCTTTGTTTCATAATGTGCATGCAGCTCATTCATGGGCTTGATCTTCTTATTTCCTCCCCCTACTCTCTCTTTTTCTCCTTTCTTGTCACTTGTCTCTCTTTACCTCTCTCT